CCCGCCCCTTCCCCAACCTGCTTCGGCGACTCACCTTGTAGAAGAATCCCAGCCCGGGCCGGGGCTCTCCCTCCGAAGACGCCTCCTCCTCTAAGGAATCCTCAGCACCAGGGGGGCTCCCATCTCCCTCGTCCTCGGCCGTGGGCTCTTCCAGGCTGCCCAGTGGGATCTCGATGAGGCCAGGCCGGGCCGCGGGCTCCTCTGGAGGCGACCCCTCCGCCAGGAGGATAGAGGAACGGGTCTGCACGGGCACCTGGCTTGGCGAGAACTTGCGCAGGTGGGGGAGGCTGTCTACATCGTGGGGAGGCGTGAGCACTCTCGTCAGGGGAGCCAGCCGCAGCTCCGCCGGCCGTGCGTGTTTCGGGCTTCGGGGTGTCGGGCTGGGGCCGGGCCCGGGGCTGCGCCGGGCAGCCGGGGCGCGCCGAGCAGGGCTGGGAGATGCGGCTTTGGGACCCACCGTGGGACCAGGGATGACCCACGCGGCGGGCGGCGGGGCAGGCCCAGGGGCCTCGGGCGGAGCCAGGAGCCGCTGCTGCTGGTCCGTGAGCCTCTGCATGTCCCGCTGCAGCGAGCTCAGCGCGGCGCTTAACTTGCTGACCGCCCGGTTATAGTCCCCCAGCCCCTCGGGGGGCACTGGGCCCAGTTCGGGTGAGAAGGTCACTGCCTTGGGCCGTGGGGATGGCTCGCCCTGGCCCTCACCCGCCGGCCGCTCCCCACCGGGGACTGGGCCTGGCTCCGCCTCTGCCTCCGCTTCCCCTCCGGCCTCCCGAGGCTGCACCTGCAGGAAAGCGCTCTTGCCCAGTCGCTGGCGGTGCTTGGCAAAGATGGCCTCGATCCGTCGCTTCTGAGCCTCTATGGCCCGCCGTTTCTCCTCCAGCCGGGCTCCCAGCTCGCTCATCTCGGAGCTCAGGGCCTCTGGTGCCGCGGGGGTGGCCGTCGGGGACCCTGCCTCGGCCTCAGCCCTCACCAGCTGCTTCTTGCGTTCAGCAAAGCTGGTCATCTTCACTTCGGAGTTGTTGGCCGCTGGGGACGAAGCCGCCGCCTTCGGGGAGCCCTCGGATAGGGCCGACGGTTTCGACATCTCCGCCACCGTGCAGGGAGATGGTTTCAAGGGGGCCTCGGGGTGGGGCATGTAGGCGGGTGCTTTGGAGGCCCCCTCGAGTGGGTAGGAGGAAGCCAGCGGCAGTTTGGAGGGCCCCTCGGGGGAGTGGAGGTAGAAGCTGCCGTCGGCAGCCCCGTCTGGGAGCAGCCGGGGCTCGGCACTGTGGATGATCTGCAGGGCCTCCTCGATGGTAGGCAGGTCGCCAGGCTCCGGGGCTGGCTGCACGGGGGTCCGGGCTGGCACAGGGCGCGGGGGGCCCAGGCTGTCTGAGCTGACCGAGCGGAGTAGGACGGGGTCTCCCATGACGACATCCACGTCGCTGTCCAGGCCAAAGGGGGTGCTGAACGACACTGCCTGGGAGAGGGGACGGCTGGGCGGCAGGAGGGAGGGGTCAGCCCCTGGGACAAGCCCCGGCCCCACCCCTGCCCAGCCTGCTCCACCGGCCAGGCCCCTGAGACGCACTCACCTGAGCTGACGGTTCCAGGCCTTGCCGAGGGCCTCCATGTGGGACATGGACGGGGAGGACTTCAGTGAGCCTGGGGAGGGGTGGTAAGCGGTCATTCAGTGGCCACTACGGCGCTGGGCACCCTGGGTGGGGTCCGCCGGGGTGTGTCACTGATGGGCATTATGTGGACAGATAGCTGGGGGCCACTGTGGGGGTGAGTGTCACCACCGGGTCATTCAGGCGCCTGAGGGACCCAGTGGAAGGATCAGGAGGAGAGACAAAGTCAGCCGGGGGTAGTGGCTGCGTAGGGGTCTCCAGTGACAAGCTGTACCCCTGCCCTCACCTGTGGATCCACGGAGTGGGGACTGGGAGCCGCCGGGTGACAGGAGTGGGTGGCGGAAATTGAAGACAGGAGAACTGCGAAGAGATGCACGTCAGCCAAGGGCCCCTCCCTGCCCCGCCCCTGCTCACCTCTCCCAGGAGCCGAGAACAGAGAGCATCCCCTAGCCCTGTCACAGGGCCACGGCCACGGAGACTCACCCAGTGGGGAAACCATACCTGCAGCCACTGCTGTTCTGGGCGGAAGAGGCCTCTGTGGCCCGGGGGGAGGCCGCTGCAGCAGAGAGAGGAGGGTCAGGCAGGGCCTGGCCTCCCTACCCCGCCCCACACCCCGGGCCAGGCCTCACCATGACCATCAGGAAGGTCCTTAGCCTGCACGAAATCAGGTTTCAGCACCTCAAAGCACATGAACATCTCGGCGAGCAGCACCACCAGGTTGATCTGGAGGCAGAAGGCGGGGTCAGCCACTGGGACCCACGGCCCCGGACGCCAGCCTCGGCCCACGAGGCCTCGAGACGGCCTTACCTTGAGGGGCGGTGGGACATACAGCAGGTCCTCGAGGGACAGTGGGCAGCCACGAGGAAGGCGGGAGGCACAGAAATCCTGCACCAGCTGGAGGTTGTAGAGGCTGTCCGCCACAGACATGGGGTCCTTGAGGCACACCTCTGTGGGGACAGGATACCTGGGTCCCCAGCTCTATGCGGAGGAGGACGGGGCCCTGGGGAAGCGAGGGCCCAGCAGGCGACACGCACAGAGGCTCTCCTACGGGCCGGGCCTCAGGCCAGGTGCCCTTTACAAAGCGGATACTACAACGGGCTGTTCCTCCGGTCTCTGCAACTATTCCCAGCTGCCGGGAGAACTCGTCCCCCAGGAACTCAAGTCAGAAAGCTTCTCCTAACTACCTCGCCCTCCCTCAGAGCACCTAACGTCCAGAATGTTTTTCTGGATGAAGTTATTGTCTTTCTCTCCCACCCAGGATGTGAGCTGCCTGAGGTCAGGAGCATGTCCGTATTGTGCACCCTGGGTCTCCGGCACCTAAAACAGGATCTGGCACACAGCTTGCGTTCTATAAATATCTGCTGCAGGCGTGAATTCTAGGAAGCACAGAGAAGTTTAGACACTTGCGCAAGGTCACACAGCTAACGAGGGGAAGAAATGTTCAAACGCAGGCCCGCCAGTTCTGAAAGCTGCACTCCTAATCACCGCAGCACTCTGGGGCAGATGCCTGGGTGTCGAGCTCCCACGGACAGGTGCGGCCCAGGCCCACTCACTCACCCTCGAGTCGCAAGAGCTGGGGACAATAGCAGTGGATCGTGGCGGCCAGCGCGGCCCCACTCGCCAGATCCTGGAGGGTGGTCACGGTTGGAAAGCAGGGGGCACGTCGGGCCACAGCTCGGTCCTTGCGGTATCGGATCTGTGGGTGGGAGCCGGGTTAGGTCAGAGGTCAGGCCGGCCCCCGGGGCAGCGGTCATGCAGGCTGGGTGGGGAGGCCTGGGGTTTCCGCCGTGAGGGGGCGTGAAGCTGGGGGTCCCGGAGCCAGAGTGGGGCCAGCCTGGAGCAGGGGAAGGGCAGCAGCAAGAGGCAAAGGAACTGTCTGCGAGCAGCCAGGCCAGCAGCGAGGGCTGGGGCAGGACTCCTGGGACCCCGGGGCGGGGGATACATTACCATGGGGGGTTTGCTCCCCGACTCCTTCAAACAGAAGGCAATTGCGTGCTGGGGGGAGAGGAGCAGCCGTCAGCGGGGCGGGAGGGGCG